AAATACAGTCGAATATAATCTCAAAATGGCGTTTAAATTAGCCTAAATTAAAAATAATCGTATATCTCTTAAAATTGCTTTTAGAATATTGATTAGTATATTTTTTGATTTCTAGGTAAATATGTAACCAAATTAAAACGTTCAAAACGTAAAAAAATGTGCATGGTTGAACATTGTCAGAAAGTAGATTCTTGAATAGGTTTTGCCAAAATGGGTTCAAAAATGTCAATAATTAATTGAAAAATACAGTAGCTTTATAATTACTTATAACTTACCGAATTTGATGAACGACATCTTTTATTGGAAAGATGAGCTTGATGAGCTTTCATCATCGCTACTGCCTGAAGCACCAACGTCAATAATGAATGGCTCGACTTGTTCCTCTAAAATATTGTCTAGTTCCCACATTTTCTTTTCAACTTTGTCTTTCACGTGCTTAATACAGTTTTCCCATTTTTGCGCTGTTATTAATTCTAGTGCTTCTTTGAAAAGTCCTTTGAGGTCACAAAATTTAAAAGTTGTATTGTGCTTAGCTATATAATTTTTAACCTCTGCCCATATGAGCTGAATGGGATTGAGCTCGCAATGGTATGGAGGTAAACGAAGCACAGTTTTATTTTGACTTGCTGCCATTTCGTCAATGGCGTATTTTTGATATTCCGCCTTGTGATCCTTGACAATTCTTAATAATTGTACTTTCAGCATTGCTTCTTCAAAGTTGATATTTTTCGAGCGGAGCCAATTTTGAACATCAACTTTCCTTGAAGCCGTTGTTGGGACCTTCTCCATTCTTCGAGAATGATAAGGCGCATTATCCAACACAATTACTGCGTTTTCCTCTAAGTTCGGTAAAATTTTTGAAAACCACTGTTCAAACGATTCGCCATTCATTTCCTCGTGGTAATCTCCAGTTTTCTTAGACTCAAAACACCACAGACCATCAACAACAAATCCATCCTCACTGCCAATATGGCAGATAATGAGACTTTTCCCTTTACCTGGAAATCGAAGTACCTACTAACTGGTGTAGATTTATTTCAATAAGCGAACCTTTTTCAAATGTTTTCATCACATTCAGCGAAAAAACATTGAGACATGAGTATCAGATTGCTATAATTGGGATTATTTAGTCATATTGAAAGAAAGAATATTGAACGTCGTATGATTACTCAGCGCTTCACAATTTAATTTAAAGTTATAAACCTTTAAAAAATGAATGATCAGGAACCTGAAATACGCGCCAATATTAATATTAACAAATTATAACTTTATAAAGCTTAAAGTATGAATTAAAATGATTAGAAATATTAGGAACGGTACACAATATAAAACTTAGTAACTTTTTTTAAGTTTATAATATTCGACATACTTTAAGATTATATTAAAAAATTATTGAAATATCGAAAACACATAAAAACATGGCTTAAAAAAGTTCTAACAAATGAAAATGACAATAAAACATCCACGCATTTTATCGAAAGTTATAAAAGTTTTGTTACTTGTAATATGTTTTATCTGCCCCCTGGAATTAATGTTTAGAACCTTGTTCCCAAGGTTTGAAAAACATCCGATTGTTGTCTATTACTCGTATTTACCTGCTGGATTTTTTAATCCGGTGGACAGTCCATCTAGAAATGCCCTACTGGATGAAGTTACAGAATCATCAACCCATACTTCACTTGTAGTGTGTCCTGCGTTTACCAACGTTTCATCAAGGTAATAAATCTTCCTGTTTTGATTTCTATATTTCCCAATTTTTGTTAAATAATCCCTCCTCCATAGCACAATTTCTTCTCTATCCAGTAGTAAACTATTACGACCCCGTTTTTTCTATTTGAAATTTAAATGCTTCAGTAACGCATGGAAAGTTGATCGTTTGAAATTTGGCAACGTTGTATCTCCATTTACCTCCTGCAGTACTTTATCTATAGTAGGTATTTCATTCCTAAAGAAGAATTCATGCACTTTCCTCCTAATCGCATGCTTATCAGCTTCATCCAATGATTTAACAATACTTTTGCGATGTTTACTGGTCATTGGCTCAGAAAAGGTGTGATTTTTTTTTGTATTGTCTTAACACATTAAACACTGATGCGCGACACACCCCAACTTTGTGAGAAACCTTCACAACAATTTCTTTGATGGTTGATGCCTCGTTCTTCTCGCGCTCGATCTTATATATATTCAAAATGACCTCTTTCATTTCTGCACTCAGGTGTCTTTTTTTAGAGCGTTTCCTAGGTGGACTACAGGAGTTTACAACTTCATCGGCAGTATCTGTACTACTGGGCATTTTGCGCAAGCAGTTGATAACAATAACAATCAATAACAGGGTATAACAATAACAACGACAAACTTAACAACTTAATAAGATAACAAACGAAAACGTCCAAAGAAATATCAAATTGCAATGATGCACACGACATACGTAACACGTCTGAACCTGAATGTGACTCTGCCTTGATACGACTGCTCTGCCGCTCGGCATAGGCATTTAATTGCGAATTGACCAATGAGGGCTCCTGTTTTACGACGAGACGGCGGCGTTAGCGTGAAAATTACCCGAACCTTTTGTTTACATCCGGTCTATCTCTTATCTGAATATACTGTATACACCCTCACTTTCAAGTTAATTGTGACCCAACTTAAACTTTTTCATTGTTTGTAAATGCAAATAAAATTAAAACCGATTGATTTGATATTTTGTATATCTCCGGAAATACCATAAACTTCAAAACTAAGCGGCATCTTCTTGGGTGGTTAAATACACAAGTTTAACCGTATTCGTATTTGTTAAAGTTTCCGAGATCCCAAGGTTGAGAGTGGAATTTGAAACACCTGGTATAAGGTTTCTTCTTCCAGTATTTTAACTGAGATATACAGAGAAATCCATATACCACTGACGTCGTAGTGTGCACGAGACAGAAGCACGCAATACGTACATACGTTAGAAAGAGATAGAAGCACCACGTTGCCTGCCAACCCGAATGATCGGTACACTCTTTCTAACACACGTATTGTCTCTCTCGTACACATAACCGCGTCAGGGATATCCTGATTCCTCTGTATATTGAGACCTATAGCATACCAAATTAGTTTGAAACAACACGTCATAAAGATTCGGGTTATGATGGATCCTTTTGATTTTTCCCCAATTTCCCCATGGTGTTTCTATATGCATTATTACAGCTTGTAAAGACTAAAAAATTTTTTGAATCGAAAGTATGAACCACGTGCAGACCGAACCTGTCATTTGTTCGGCGAATTGAGTCTTCATTGCATTCCTGTGACATTTCCATTTATCACTGATGAATTAGCTACCTGTTGAGTCTTTGTATCCTTCAAAAGAACTGCAATAAGCAGGGAACTTAGGAATCTTTGGAAGAAGTTTAAACGTGCTTTGTCACTAGCTAGCACAAGATGAATAAACCCATTTTATGAGAAATCAGAAAGAATGGTTACATAACCACCCGGGAGACCCCAAAACCAGATTTTTTGTGGTGTGCAGGTATAAATTTGTTCAGTTCTGAGAAACCTTTATGGCCGTTCTGGACCACCCTCATATATTTTGTTGGAATGTTTCTTGAAAACAAATAACCTGGACTCCGCAACCAAATTAAAAAAAAAGAATTAGGAATAAATCTAATGTATCTAGGTTAGCATATGTAAGGTAGGATATAAATCAGTAATATACTTTCAGTTTCAAATTGAATAGTTACTTGTGCTCTTACAACGCCAACGCTACCATCGCAGAGAGATGAGAGAAAGAGACACAATGATATGAATCATATGGATAGGTGATAAATCTTACTATTGCTGTATTTTTGAATGAAAATGCAATAAAGGAATTCACTCACTGATGCATAGTGGGAAAGGAGGTGGTAAAAATCGTAGACAGGCTCAGAGAAGGATGGAGCTATACATATGTGTGAGTGGGGGAGAGAGGCAGTGTCCAGGCTACTGCGACCGTCTCGCAAATTCCTGACTGTGCTGCCACCTTGAAGGTTCAACGTGATGCTGTACGCGTTGCCGCGTCTCATAAGTATTCTTGAAATTGGAGACAATCTGACGAGACGGTTATAAAAAGTGTTCGGATTTTATGATAATCTGTGTGTATCAATAAATTATAGTTAATATACCAATTAAATTAATATAATACCAGATAACATTATAATTTGTTATAATGTGAGTCATTTTTGAACTTTATGATTCATCATGTTTTTACTTCCACGAGAGTCATTTTTTAAGTGAGAACCGTCTTGTAATTGATTTAGATAAACTTTATTTATGAACGTAAATTGTACCACAAACCAAAATATTAACGTTTTTTTTATTTTATTTTTCAACATAGTCACCATAAACATTCAAATATTTGTTAATTTGTGGCAGCAGCTTTTGGATCTCGATGTCATCATTTGCCATCAAAAAATTCCTCATGTTTTGGAAAAAATGAAAGTCTGAAGGTGCTAAGTTAGGGCTGTATGGTGGATGATCCAGTAATTTCCAACTAAACTCGTCCAGTTGAGTTTTTTAACAGCACCTCTCAGCATTTATAGCTGCACGAACTTTTTCGGCGTTCAAAAACCGAATTACTGAACGCATTTCACAATAGGCAGGTTCACTGAGTGACAGGGCGACAAAGCAGTATAACCACCGACCAACAGGGTGTCCGAGGTTGAACAGACGCTACGTGATAGGATGCGCGATCAGTTCTTACTTTAAAAATGGACCCCGTAAAATCTACTGCTACTAATTTCACGAATTTCTGAGATCTGTCAATGTAGCGCACATACGATATCGTGCAGTAGTTCCATAAAAATCACGATTGCTTCAAAGACATGCATAAATTGTCTTTGAATGAGGTCGGCCGAGAATTTCATACAGGCGAGAACGTGGCAACGTGGCATCTACGTCCGCGAACTGTAAACATGGCGTCCTCTATATTGGTTAGTTGTCAGTCTGTGCAGTTTTTTTAGTGTTTTCCTGTGATTTGTGCGAAAATGGACAATAAAAAGAGTCCTATTAGACGGCCAAAACGTTCTGCGAAAGCCGTAGAAGACAATTTTTGGGACTGCAGCGTGTGTACATTCAGAAACACTGCCGAAGCCTTCAAATGCTTGATGTGCGATGTTAGAAAAGGCACCTCTACAAGAAAACCGAGGATCAACCCTCAATTGGTGGCCCAGCAAGTGGCTACTCAATTCTTACCGGCCACCAGCACCCATAAACGTGAGAAGAAAGACAAGAAATCGATGAAAAAAAGGAGACATCCACCAAGGCTGAAGAATGTAGATCGGAGTAGTGCTCAAACCAGGGAAGTTACTGTAAATAGTGTAACGGTAGTGATCACTGAGTACAAACCGAAAATTAAATCGGCAGAAACGATATCCAGTAGCAGTTCTTCGGACCACGGGTCCCAATCGGAGTCTAGCATGGATGCTAGGTGAATATTCAACTTCCAGTGGCGTGACGTAGAATTTGGTACGTGTTTGGTACTGAAAGAACCATAGGTGATGCCTTAGATTAAGTTTAAATTGATTCCCAAATGATTTTAGTCAATTTCTTATTGATCCAGCAAGTTACTGCTAGAGTTGGTGGAGAACCTGGTACGTGTAGAGATGCGTGAAATGTATACAGCCCAGTTTTGTGTTCTCAATATATTTCGTAGCGTTCTAGATTCGATATTTTTAAACCATATCTTCATCGATTTATCAATTGTGTCATTTTTTCTCAAAATATTCGTTACTGTTAAAAAAAATGTGCATCATGGTTGAGCATGTAGTGTAAACTAAGATGAACATATTTTTCTAAAGAAATCAATTGATGTTCACTGTATTGGTGGAATATGAATAGTTTTATTCAATATTAAAGGGTCATGTGATGGTGGTAGCATTTTTTGAACTTAGCATTAAAGTAGATACTGTGTGTATTTGGCTGAAATTTTTTAGATTTACGGATCTGAAAAATTAACGATTGGCAATTCAAGAATTATCGTGCATCTAATAGCATAATAGCAAAAAATTGTTTTCAAACTGAATATAAAAAATTATGCCATAATTCACCATTCTTTATTAAAAAACATAAAATTATAGAATTGATAAAATATGAATTGGAGATTTTTTTTCAATTTTATTCATTTTTTTAACAAAAGTTTGACAATTGTAATATTCCTTAATTGCTTATACAGTTGTTGTGTGACTATTTCCCTTGTCTTAATTCATACCAATCCCGAACGCGCAATTTTGAATTACAAATGATTTCTAGATGGAAAAATTGTATGACAGCACCTGTCAGCAGTTTTTTCGTGCAGGTGCAAAAATCTTCGTCTCCAACACGGATTTTTGTTGCTTCTTGTTAAAATATCACTTAGCAACGCGTTTTTTCGATTTTTTTCGGAAAAATAGATGCCCTTATGATAGAACACTTTTCTTTGAGCTGTGAATTTTAGATATACATGGTGTTCCAAAATATGTTCATATAAAAATGTTGAGATATTGATACGTCTAAATGACGCCACTGGTAATCATTTTTCTCAAAATTAAATACTATAACACACAAAATTAAGCAATTTTTTCACATCATTGTAACTAATTCAGATTTCCCATGGTGTCCATAAAAAATTGATTCATCTATTCTGCCAACATGGTCGTTTTTTATTTACTTTTTATAATAACCAAAACAATAATGGTTGTTTTTCCTGACCTTTTGAGAATTATTTTTTGATGTCAATAAAATCAGGCGGTTTAATTTAACACTGTTTTTTCAGTACTTACAAAACCTTTTCCATTTAGGCCACCATTTTACATGTGATTGTGAAAACTAGCAATAAAGCACTATCACCGTAAAAAGGCTGGTCCATATTTGACCAATTAAATGAGGCACGATAATGTGAGGTCTAGATGATTACAATGCCTTGAAAAAATCGTTGAATTATATCATGTCATTAAGAGGTTGTTTGAGAAAAAAGTCGTACCGTTCTTATCTCCATGGAGATCAAAACAATTATTTGTGGAAATTTTCACATTATTTTTTTGTATAGACATCCATGAGGTAACCCAGATATGATGGACCACCCTGTATATCCAATCTAGTTTTGTTTGCTCAACAGTGTCAGTGTATTTGGTAAAATAGAAACTTACTGTGTGGGTTTACACAACCTTCCTGTCAACGCACGTAGGTATATCCTATTTTTAAATATTTTACAATTTTACATACTTGTTCATGAAGGGGTGCGGCGCCCTTAGTCTACCTTAGTGGATACACCTATGTGTATGGCAGAAGGGTTGTTAGCCGAGCTCGCAATGTTCCTGATGCATTAACTATACCTGCACCGTGTCAGTGACTTGCCAGGACAATGACTCGTGACGTCACTAGATACATAATTACTCCCGTCAGTGTATCGAAAAATCCATAAAAATGCGATTGATGTAAACTCCGTACGAATGTCAACTTTTGGAATTAAAGTCGTCTATTGTAAATAATCGTTTTGCATAATAATACTGTAGAAATAGGATTTTACTTTTCGCGTCAATGGAGAAACGCGTGTATCGAAGTTCTGTCTCAAACAGAAAAAGCTGATTATTTTTAGGAATAGGGACCTGACAAACTGCAATGCATATATAAAAATCTCAGCTAAACTAGAAACCTGGTTTGAATAATTTTCTTGTGATTCTATCTTGAACATTTAATCATATTTTGAAAATTGAGTGTAATCAGAAAATGTCATAGCAAAAAATGCAATAAGTCGTGTTCATTATCAGTGAATAGACATCATTTTTAGTAGAAAAGATTGGTGCCAAGTAGATTTACTAGTTTGACATACTAATTGATTTTTGTGTTCTGATACTGTGTCTCATAGATAACGCTAGTATCTTTCATGTACGTTAGTCAATGCTATTCTCACGTATTTATGGGCTGTTTCGGAAGTGATGTTATCGGAATCGGAGGTTTTGGTTCAGGGCTTTGAATTTAGTATTTACTTTTCACCATAATAAGGGATCGTCACTGATAGAAATACGTTTTGTCCATTGTTCTCATTATTGATATCATTATAATCGCTACTCAACAATTTATTGATAAAATTGTTTGGATAACCTCCGATTTAGAAATTTCAGAACCGATTCCGGAATTTTGAAAACAATTGGAAGTTCAGACTTTTCGGAATCGAACGTCCATAACATACCTGATTTATATGTATACACAATTTTTATTATTTAAACTCTTACAAATTTATAATTTTTCTCGGTTTAAAGGCTACATTGACTGGAGTAAATATTCTCCAAAGACTTGTATGATTTAAATGATTTTTTCTTTGTATAAAACTGCCCTGAAGCGAGTACGTGTAATGCACAGAGAAAAGTATGTATTATAAAGTATAATATATTATTTATTAACCGCTTTAGTTTGAATATGGTGATTTGTGTGTAGGAGTGGTCCAAGTTCAATGAAACTTGTAAATATAGGGGGGAGGGGTGGTACCATAGTTGTCTCTACATACTACATACGTGGATCCAACAGCGGATTCAGACTTTGAGTCGTCTGAAGAGCGTTTCAAGGACATTTCAAGGTTAAATTCAAAAAATGCCTGGAAATCATGTCTGCTAGACTTATACGTAGGTTTTTGGGGTCCGAATCCGAGGTCGGTTCGTCCGTATCAGGTCATTTGGAGGGTGCTTCGGGGTAATTTCAATGTCTAATTGAGAAAATGCCGGGTAATTAAATCTGATAGACCTGTACGTAGGTTTTTGAGGTCCGCTTGTCCGTATCCGGTCATTTGAAGTGCGATTTGTGGTCATATCAAGGTCATCAAATCTGATATACCTGTACGTATGTTTTTGAGGCAAGTTTGTCGGTATCAGGCCATTTTAGGTGCGATTCGAGGTCATTTCAAGATCAAATTGAGAAAATGACGGGTCATCTAATTGCTATACCTATACGTATCTTTTTGAGACCCGAATCTGAGGTCAGTTTGTCCGTATCAGGTCATTAGAAGGGCGATTCGAGGTCATTGCAAGATCAAATTAAGAAAATGTCGGGAAATCAAATCTGGTAGACCTGAAGGTAGGTTTATGGGGTCCGAATCTGGTCAGCTTGAACGTACCAGGTTGTTTGGAGGGCGATCAGAGGTCATTTCAAGGTCAAATTGAGAAAATTCCGGGAAATCAAATGTACTAGTCGTGTACGTAGGTTTTTGGGGTCAATTTTTTATGCTTTTCTGGCTGGTGTGGTTCAACCAAGTGAAGTATAACTTTTTTGTGTGATTTGTATCTATTGGCTAGATATGGCATTTGTTTTTTTAGCCTTTTCCTTATATCCAAAACACATTCAATTTTATGGATATTTGACAGAATTGACAGTTATCCTGAAAATATTGTAACTTATTTGTTTAGCTTATTGCGGTCATCCTGCGTTTTGTTTTAATGTATAATGAAGTAACATGGAATTATAATAATATTTTGGAAACGGGAGCATTTCACTAAATGCTTTTCTCTGTGTGCGAAATCAAAATATTTTGACAGGTGAATTCCTATATAGCCCACTGCCTATAGACCAAAAGCTGTTCATTGGAGATTTTTTTATAAATCATTGTGAAAATTTCGATTGATGTATATTCAGACTCAAAGTTTTACACCAACACTTTTTTGTAATTATTTTAATGTTTCAGTTATTTTCTCAATGAATCAAACTTTTATAAATGTCACGTTTCAAAATTCCAATGGTTATGATACTTGGATATGTATTTGTAAACCGTTTCAAGGACTTGATTATCAACGCATCAAATGCATTTAAGATAATTGTAATTGAAAAATTGACATTGTAAAAACTGTTGTAAAAATTGTATGGTATGAAACAGTTTGATGTGTACGGTGTTTTAATAAATTATTATTTTTCATAGAAATTGTTTGCTTACCATCTACGCAAAAATTATCCAGGTTTATTTAGTCAAAGGCCTAGTTACTTGAAAAAAGTCAGGGAAGATGTATCAGAGGAAGATTCTTCGCCTTGATATCCAAATATACTGAGAGGAAATTAATAAAAAAAAATTTTTTCGCAGCTGGGTTTTAAGGTGAACGTAGTTCGAGAAGAGAAGAGATTTGTTTAGACCGAAAATGTCAATCAACAATGTTCGACAATGAGGTGAGAAAGAGATAGCTGGATCCATATTACGTAACTTAAAAAGTGACATTGTATCGATTTTTTTTGACTCCATGCTCACCTGTAGTAGACGCAGGTATCTAGTGCACAAGTTGACATTTTACTTTAATTTTAATTCAAAGACTTTCCAACGAATCGATCAGCGGTTACGAGAAACTGGTAAGAAATGATTATCGCCTTATTTTGAGAAGTAAAAACCATTTGGATTTTAGGTAGTTTTGCTCAAAATATGGGCTGACATAGTGGAGCTACCAGAACTGTACGTACAGCTGAAGTTGAAGAAAATATTTTA